TTTCCAACACACACACACACACACACACACACACACACACACACACACACACACACACACACACACACACACACACACACACACACACACACACACTCACACACACACACACACGCACACACACACACACATATATATATATATATATATATTGTCGATAATTGTAACATAATCTATAATAACAAGCTACACGCATGCATACATACATACACACACCACAGACACACACACACACACACACACAAACACACACACACAAACACACTCATATAAATACACGCACGTGTGTTTGTGTGACGTTGAGCTGTTAACGCTCTTCATGTTCTTGTAATCTAAAGGCTAAACCAAAACGGTAGCAACATTGAAATCAATCAATAATAACGTCATTTCGTTTTGACAAAATGCAACCGAACTAGGATTTATTCTGGATCTAAGCTCATCAGTGAAACAACATACCAAAATTTTCTCCACCGAACGCATGCGTCAAGTCAAATTAGAAAACTCAATCAAATACATGGATCTTTAGTAGCTGTCACACTAATTATACCAACACGGATAGATTATTGCTATGGTCTGTTGTTTTACAAATTACCAGTTAGATTTATAGCGTTGAGCTGTCAATACAAAATCGAACTGCCAAAGTTGTCATGTCTCAGAGTATGAATTATTACTTTTCTTTCTTTTGAAACATATCTTTCACTTGTCTATTGGTTAACCAGGCTCTGGGCCTTATCACAATCGATATGGGATATACCTTTACTCTGAAATTTACTCTGATATTTCAAAATTAGAGTTTCTACTCTCTGAACTTTGTAAATTTACTAAGAAAAGAAATCAAAGGAGAAGGCTTAGAGTTTAATGGGAGAGATTTTTCCAATTTACAGAAAGTAGTAACACCAGTACAAGCTTTTCAAAGAAAGGGTAGAAACAATAAAAGGAAGATTTTTCAGCTCGAGAGGTTATTGAACATTGAAATAAACTGACGAAAAAATTTTAACATAGCTTCTTCAACGCAGGAGTTCAAAGTCAGACTTGGAAGATTAGGATTTTAATTCAACATTATTAGTCAAAATCGTTCCAGTGGTCCTCACCGTGCTATATTATTTTAGGTATACGATGATGACATAAAATATCCTAAATATACGTACGTGGTCATAAAAACAGTGTGTAGAAAATTATTGTGCCGAGATGGCTTGGTGGCGAAACGTCTCGAAGGGATGTAAGCAAGTGAAGAGGTGGAGATTTAAATCTGCATCATTTATTTTTATTTTCGAGTCGGGATGTTCGGACAGTTCGCTATCATTTGTATTTATTTCATCTTTATTGAATGAATAAATAATATTTAACACTTTCTAATGGATAAAAATGAAGATATTTAGTTTGTATTAATAAATTAATTATTAATATTAAATTATTAATAAATTATTAAATTATAAAAGTATCTAAAAAATAAAAATTCAGAAAATCTTTTTAATAATATCTTTTGGCTTGTTTGGTTTGTTTGGTTTTTTTAATTATTTCATGCTATCTCATGCTATCATGCTATTTTTTGTTTTATGTTTTAAAATTTAAAACTTGACACTACTTAACTATTTTATTAATTAATTAATTATTATTAATGGCTAGAATAAAATAATTTGTTAATTAAGTTAAGATTTAAGGTTAAGCCATATAAATTTTTATATTGTTAAATAAAATGAAATTGATATAATTTATTTATAATATAATTATAATTTATATTATACAAGCAAGACCTGTGTTTGGGTACTTGTTCTTTGTATTTTAATTTGACTGCTTAGCAGTTGGAATTGACAGAAAGACTGATAAATGTCCAATGTCCAATGAACGACCAATAATGTCCATTGTGAATATAATAGAATTAAAAACATCAACAAATTCATGAAAGTCACAAAAAGAATTATTTTAAATTTTAATTATAAAAAGTGGTAGAACTAATTAATAATTAATTAATTGGTTTAATTAATTAATTAGAACTACTCAGTTATGAGTATCAATGCCTTCCAGTTGGTTCCTGTCCTAGACAAAACCTCTCTCTCTAGCCTAAAAGTGGGTGGTTGCTATTTAAAATTGGTAACTTAATTTAAATGTTTATCAAAGGTTAAAAATTTTTTTGTTGATTATGACTTTGCATTATTTTCTTTTTAAATTTTCAGATTTCATGCCTGGAAGTCTGTGGGAAGAATCTTTTAATTGGAACTGATGACTGGTACTCACGCACACACACACACACACACACACACACACACACACACACACACACACACACACACACACACACACACACACACACACATATTTATATATATGATATATGATTGTAAAAAAAACACAAAAAATGAATAACATCTTTTATGGGCAACCTCTTATGTTATTTTCCCAAATTCTTCAACTCATCAGAATAATTAATTATTTTGTTGAATTGTCGAGACGACATTTCATTTTATTATTTTATTATCTTATACGATGTTGTACTTTTTATTTCAAAAGCAAGATACACCACTATTTGTTGAACGAAGAGAAGGATGGCCAACAGAAAGTGCAAATCATCTGCACAAAACTGGGCTACAAAAGTTTCGATTTGGTTGGCTTGCAGTTGTTGCTGTTGTTGTTGTTGTTGTCGTCACTCTTTGTTATTGCTTCTGTTGTTAGTGTTATTGTTGTTGTTTGTGTTGTTGTTGGATTTGTTGTTGTATGTACATTGCTATCTTTATGGTGCTGGGCGTTGATGTAGGTATTTAAACTTTCAAAGGTGTTTTATTTTATCCTATGGTTTTGGATTTATACATTATACACATTACATGCCTCACGCTTAATGTATGTATTAGATATGTACTGTATGTACACGTACATCTAAAGTTTTTTTTCAAATTCTACGTTATTATATATTACGGTACAATACATTACATACATTAGTGGGATTACATGCATTACAATAATTTATGAATAGCATACCCTGCTTAATTAACATATAGATTACATACATTACAGGCATTACATAAATTACATGGATTACATTCATTACATGCATTACATACAGTACATTGATTACAATATTATTTGGTGACTGGCATTTGTTTGCTGCAGAAGAAACCAATAGCTGGAATACGAGCTAGTACAGCACTGAAAAGGATCATTGTACTGTGTGATGGTACGCTCTTCCTTCTTAATATGCTCAATTTGCAGGCTGGTCTTTGTTGTTGTTGTTGTTGCTGTTGTGTGTTTTGTTGTTGTTGTTGTATTTTTTATTGTTGCTGTTGTATTTTTTATTTTGTTGTTCCAGGTTGTTGTGTCAGATGAGTTCCTCAGAGAACTCTCTCACAACCATCCAGCCTTCTTATCATTATGTTGTATCATATTGAGGAGAGAATAAAATGTTGTATTATCATTGTATTGTAAATGTACCGATGTATTTCTATTTGTTTCTTTTACTTTTTTTTGGCTTTGCAACTTTTTTGTTAAATGTTTATTCATTAATTATCTCAATTAATTACATAATTACCTTTATATAACTTCAGCCATTAATTCAATAACAGCCTGTCCAATCAAATTTGAAGATCAAAATGGTAAGTGCATTCACCGTGAACATGAACCCCACAAGGTCTGATCCATTTTCAGTTGAGGTCAGCGATGTTTAGTGCAGACGTTTCAATCTCATTTCGTATCATACTTCCGAGTTTTATGTTCAGTCATTTACTCTTACAACTGTTTTTAACAATTCCTATCATCATCATCGTCATTTGTGAACTGCTGTGTGGACTACCGAAAAATTTAATGATGCCAACCATTAAATTTTAGCTGTGCATTGGATCAAAACGTAAGTCCGTTCAAGTTTACAATATGACGGAGGAGAATATGACGCTAGTTAGGGAGGTGCAAATCAGGGATGTGCCTGTCGATCTGGTTGGTTGGTTGGTTGGTCGGTCGGTTGGTTGGTTGGCTAGTTGGTTGGTTGGCTGGCGGGCTGGTTGGTTGGTTGGTGTGTTGGTTGGTTGGTTGGTTGGCTGGCTGACTAGCTGACTAGCCAGTAAGATGGTTATTTGAATGTTAGGTTGAATTGTTGATAAGATGTTCGTTTGGATGGTTGTTTCATCTTACCTTACTTTTTCATTATCTCCGTTATAATTCATGTCATCATCATATCATCACATACATCTTCATCATCATCACATACATCTTCATCATCATCATCACATACATCTTCATCATCATCAACACATACATCTTCATCATCATCACATACATCTTCATTATCATCACATACATCTGCATCATCATCATCATCACATGCATCTTCATCATCATCATCATAGAAGATGGATGGATCTATAGTGTGTGTAGCACTGAGTGGTGAATATTTGATGGTGGATGTTGCGAACGCTCAGGTGCAAGACCTCTTTACCTTTCCCCAGGTGCACGTCACACCCATCGTTACACACGTTTCTCAGGTTGTCGTTGTTGATGTTGTTGCTGTTGTTGTTGGTGGTGTTGTTGGTGGTGTTGTTGCTGTTGCTGGTGTTGTTG